CTTTCCTTTCCTTTCCTTTCCTTTCCTTTCCTTTCCTTTCCTTTCCTAGTAAACTTTGTACCTCAAATTCATCTGGGCTTTTAATTCCTAACAATAAGTCTACCTCTTCTGTCGTAACCCGGTCAGCAAGACAAGTCAGACATTTCTCAGAATAACTGTATTTGCAAAAGGGAGAAAAATATATTTTAAAGAGAGAAAATTGTCAATAGATTTTGTAACTTCCCTTTCCTAGAACAAAGGGTGATATAGGAGAAAGATAGTTCATTCAAGATGATTAATCTGCTGAATTGACATCTCCAAAGTAGATGTTAAAGGTAGCCACTTTCTGGCCAGAGATTGTTATTTCTGGAGCAGATATATTTACAGATAAAGTGCAGAGAATTAAACAAGAAATCTACTTCTATATGATTTAGTTATTTCTGTTCAAGTGATACATAGATGAATGATAACAAAAAATGAAAGATTCTATATCTAGGAATATTTGCTGCGAGAATGGGTGAATGCAATAAAAATTTACAACTGTTTGTTATAGTCAGGCAGTTAGGAACTTCACAGACCGTGTCTTCTCAATAACATTATACATGATTTCTTGGTTCTATCAACAAATCAACTTGTTTGTGAGTGTGTATGTGAAAATCCTTAAATAATCTCACATTTATTGTTGCCCAAAGAGGATATTTTCTTCCTTTCTGCTTGACTGATGAATGCTACGAGGGCCCATAGAATGAATTCAGCTATGTGATTTTTTTTTAAGGGAAAGACTGCAATAATGTAATACTTGGCTTAACAATAATTTTGGTTCCTAATTTAATGTAATATACAATTTCTAATTGTGTTGAAGCCCCTTCATCACATATTGGTAATGGAAAAAGACACTGTTCCAAATAATCTAACTTGCATTTTCTAACAAGAATCAATTGGACATATGAGAATTTTTCAGACATTAGCTTGATTGAATTGCTGCGGAAGAAAAGCTCATGCTTCTTAATTTGTTCTACTTTGCTCTATAAAAGGTGTGTGTGTGTGTGTGTGTGTGTGTGTGTGTGTGTGTGTGTGAGAGAGAGAGAGAGAGAGAGAGAGAGAGTATGTGTGTGTATTCGAGAATCTGACAAAGATTAAATGAGTATAAACTATACATGCAGGTTGCTCACACAGTTATAGTCCTTGAATAGGCAAAATCTTTGATTTTAAAATCTTTTTGCATGTGCATTCAGACAGTACAGTACAGAAGGTACTGTGCAGGATGTATGAATGAGCAGAAGAACGAAAGAAGCATTGGATGGCAAATGGTCATCATGGGATGCTTCACCCACTGTCTAAGAATGGGCACAACATTGACCAAGGGCATTTTCATGCCACCATCATTTTCATTTCTTAAGTCTTAAATGCAATAGAAAGCTGTATATGATTCCCACTGGATCCCCACTTCTGATGATCTGAAATGCTAAAAACAAGGGGCAGTGTTTCCAAGTCAGTCCAATTTCTTTAGAAACAAAATCCATTGATCACCACTTCACATCAAAGGAAGGAAGGAAGGAAGGAGTTCTTCCATGTCAAGGAAAAGGGGGAAATTAACAAAATAATAATAATAAATTAGTAATTTCACCTTACATGTTTTTGCTTGTTTGCCTACAGCACTGACAAGCTAACATTTTCCTTATAGGATCACAAGTTCGGGATTTAGTAGGAGATGTGGTAATTTATTTATTTAATTTATGGCATATCATACATGGACTAGCAATATAAATTAACATTTCAATTAGATTAGTAGAACCCAATAAAATGTAAATATTAAAAAGATCTATGTTCAAATATCAATGTCTAGGCCATTGAAGTGCAGCATTGTTTACATTAAAGAAATCAGATACTGGACTGGTTATGCCCTCAGCTTCCACTCAGTCATAACATGGCAATAATTTCCTCCAATGGGAAGAGGAAACCTCAGCAAAGAAGGGGAAAGTAATATCATAGCCATTTCATTTACTCCAAGCCAGTGTCCTCTCAACATTGCTGATATTTTGGGAACCCAGGTGCCTGGACCTTCTTTCAGACTGGTTCAGAATCCTTCTGTGGAAGGGCCCTTAAAAGGCCTGTTATGGTAGAATCCTAATAACTACCAGTCAGACCTTGATCTCCTTGATCTAGGAGTCCTTACTTGATCTCATCTATGGCAATTACATCTTCCAGAACAAACTACGTCCTCTGAGAAGACTAGATATGTGAGAAAGTATTTTAAAAATAATAGCAATTGACAGCTCTTCATCATAACGAGTACAAAACACTGCAAGGGTCTTCCAGGGCAGGAATTAATTCACAATCCATTTGCTATGTTCGCTTAGAACTCAATTACTTAGATGTGACAGAAAATCAGGCTGTCCAATATGTATGTATGATTGTTTTCTTTGAGTGTTGCAGGAGAAGCATGAATTGTGTGAGGAGCTGCTTACTATAGTGCTTGCTGGATTTTGCCATATTTAAAGCCTTCCTGGAAATTCTCTAGAAATCATTGTCTAAAGTAGGTGACCAAATATCGTTCATAGTGGAAGAATATTTAAGTAGGAAATAAACAATAATAATAGGAGGAGGAGGAGGACACCAGTTTGGTTAAATAACAAATGTGTTCCTATCCCAATTATTCTGTCCTTAAAATGAACCTGCAACATTGGCTATTGGCACGCATGCCAAAGTATACAGAGCAGAAGTACTTATAAATCCATTTGAGCATAGAAATACCAGCAATAAGCATTCTGTCATAAAGCAAAAGTGCTGTTGAAAATATGATAAAGCACAATACATAGGGTTGTTAAGTCTTTGTACTGTCATCAAGGACATCAATCAGTCTGGCCAGGGTGTACCACGTGGCATTTTAATACCTGCAGTGATATCTAAAATATATAGCTACTTCATTATTTTAGTGGCTTAGTAAATACACACACACACACACACACACATTTTTACCATTTACTAAAAATATTTGTGTGTGTATGCATGTATAAAGGAAAAGGCCAAGCTTCAATTTTGTAATGTTGCTTTAATCATGCAGTGATTGGACTAAGAAAAATCAGACAACCCGTTCTGTTGTGGTCATAACTCCCCAATCAAAGCTTGTTTTTTTCCCTTTTGGTTTTTCTCAGGCTCTTCAGTTGCTGTGTACAAAAAGTGGATTCCAAATACAAATTTTGAAAATGCTGCTAACTGGGATCAAAACCGAGTTCCATGTGCTAAGGATGCTGTTCTTTTTGGGAGTAGTAAGGTGCTTAATTTGTGAATCAAAACCAAATTTGCCCCATCTGGTCTTTCAGGAATTTGGTCTTTACATGTCTTTATTTCTTCCAGATTGTATCAGTTTTTGTCCAGGCATCCCACTCTTTGACAGACATAGTAAGTATACTCATTATTATGATATTAATTAATTAATTTATTTTATTTGTCAATCACTTACAAGATAATAGGTATAAGTATAAACATGAGTAAGAATACAGGAAATAGGTACAAATAAATGGGGACAATATGTTCAACTAGAGTAATGCTTAAATATATTACATACTTAAAATTGTACTGCAGGTAAGTGAGAGATTAATTTTGTGCCATTTCTGTTTATATTGTACCAGTATGAGTATTATTGCCTTTCAGAATAATAAAGAAAAGCAAACTCAAACAGTTATGTCTGTAGGGCTTGGTCAAAAGCATCAAGATGGCCGTCAAACTGTGATTCAAGAAAACGCAATAAAATCTCTTCTTGAAGTGCACATAAAAAACAGACAGGGTTTTGATCACACCATCATGTCTGTCATTTGGACTTTTTGACCATGCCTTATGGACATCTGAGTCCAAAATCAATCACTTCTCTTGATGACCTTGCTTATTAGAAAGAGATACTATCTCTTATTAGAAAGATACTTGGCTATCATATGTTAAAGCAGGGGTCCCCAAACTATTTAAACAGGGGGCCAATTCATGGTCACTCAGACTTTTGGGGGTCTGGACCGGCTGGGTGGGTATGGCTAGGTGGTCATGTGACTGGGTAGGTGTGGCTAGGTGGTCATGTGACTGGGAGGGCATGGCCTATTTAGCAGTCCATTAAACAATATGTGCAAATTAAACTTTAATTTGTTATGCTCCTTGTTATGTTCGGAAGGGTCGGGCTGCAGAGACGAGAGACTCAGGTTCAGTAAACAACAGCTCTTTATTTACAGGCTAGTTCAGACTCAAAAAGGTAGCAGCTTGGCGGCCAATGACATCGCTTTAAGTCTCCCGCGCTTGGTTTTAACCAATCGCGGCAGACTCTTAGCGAGCCAATCATAACCGCCCAGGCTGACCAATCAGGTAGTGCTTGAAACGGACCAATAGGAATGCAGGGTTTCAAGCCTGCTATATGGAACACCCCTCCCCTCTTGGTATCGTCCAAGGGGCGGAGTGACGTAGTCACATAGGTAGGCGGGTCTCCGCACCAGCCTACTTGACCTACGCGCTTCATTTAGTCTCTGGTTGTCGGCTGGTTCGGACGGGCTTTGCGTCGCTCTCAAACATCCCGATGGAACTGCCTGGAAGGGTGAGCCGGGCCTATAGCTGCGACTCCTGCCTGGTTCGCCCGGGTTGGTAGAGTCGTTCGCTCTGCTGCTCCCGCCTGGAATCTCTGGGCTGGTCGAGCTTGTCCGGCTACTCCTTTCAGGTGAAGCACCCGTCTGCAACGGTTCTGTGTTTTCAGGTGAGTATGGTTGGTTTATTGTTTGGCTTCTGCCTGGGGGGTCGACCGGCAGCTGTTGATAGGCCTGTGCCAGGTCGAGCTTTGCAAAGACCCGGCCTCCCCCCAGTGAGTGCAGGAGGTTCTGGACTACGGGGTAGGCACTTTGCTGCAGGGCATGGTTGAGGGTGGCCTTGTAGTCCCCACAGATTCTTATGGAGCCATCTGGTTTGATAGGGGTGACTATAGGCGTTTCCCAGCGGGCGTGGTCAATAGGCTCCAATACCCCTTGGGCAATGAGCTTATTTAGTTGCTCGTCTATTTTAGGCTTGAGTGCAAATGGCACTCGCCGTGGTTTGAGGCGGATGGGGGCGACATCTGCGCTAAGATTGAAGGAGATTGGGGACCCCTTGTACTTGCCTAAGGTGTTGTCGAAGACCTCTTGGAAGTCTCGTGCAAGTGTCGCTTCCCAATCTTCCTCGTTCGTGTGGTGGATACCAGCCATTTCTATCCCTAGCGGCTCGAACCATTGTAGCCCGAGCAAACTGGGGCGGTCTTTGTCCACAATGGTGAGTGGCAGTATGTTGGTGCGGCCTTTGAACGTGATTTTGAAGTGACCGATGCCGGCTACGGGAATGCGATTCCCCTGGTAGTCTTTGAGGATCAGCTTTTGGTCACTTAGTTCGTGTCGGCGTATGCTGGGTATTAGGCGCTTGATGGTGTGCCAGGAGGCCATGGAAAGGTAGGAACCGGAGTCCACTTCCATGGTGCAGGGTTGGTCTTCGATGTTCACTACTATGCGTACCTTTTGGGCGTCTATGGTTGAGGAATGGCCTATGACGACTGTTTGATGGGTCTCTTCTCTTCGTGCCGGTTCACTGAATCATTTGATTCGGCCGTCTCGGCTCCAACGGCTGTCAGTCTGGTGCTCCCGATGCTTGGGGGGGGTGCCATCTCGTCGTCTGGGTCTGCCTGCTCAGCGCCGTGGACTCTGGTTGTGTTTATTTCGGCATACTTTTGCGATGTGCCCCCGCTTCTCGCAATGCCGACAAATGGCGTCAAGGAATCGGCATTCAGAACGGGGGTGGTCGCCTCCGCACCCGGCACACTGGAAACCTGACTTACAACCCTGCTGGTCTCGCCAATCACGTTCCGACTGGAGTCAGTGGATTTCTTCCTCCTCGTAGTCGCTGTCAGAGGGGGATTCAACGTTGCCGTGGTGGGTGGTGGTGTGTTTCTCTGATGTTGGAACTGCCTCGCTGACAGGATGGCGGTCGGTTCTGTTTGATCGGCGCATCCGGGCCGCCGATTTGCGGGTGGCTTCGGCTGCAGTCGCTTCTGCTATGGCGTCGGCGAGGGAGATATTGCCCTTGGCCATCAGCTTGCTTTGTAGTGTGGGGTCCTTTAGGCCGAGGACGAACCGGTCTTGCATGGCCTCATCTAGGTCCGTGAATCCGCACAAACCTCCAAGGTCCCTCAAGTCAGCCACAAAATCGCTGATGCTCTCGCCGTCGCACTGGTCTCATCGGTAAAAATCGTGCCGGCGAATGAGTGTAGGCACGGCTGGAGCGTAGTGGCTACGGAGAATGGGTGCGAGGTCGTCCCAGTCCATTGCCTTGACATCCGCCAGTTTTGCCAAAGCCTTGGCCATTTTAAATACGGCGGGTCCGCAGTGTGTTAGGAATACGGCCCGTTTCCGATTGCCATTTGCGTCTTTCAGGTTGCTGCATTCCAAAAACATCTGAAACCGGTCGATGTAGGACTCCCAGTCTTCAGTAGCTGGGTTAAATGGTGCGGGTGGCGTGGTATTGCTGGCCATCTTGCTGGTCGTTTTCGCGCCGTTTGCCACGTGCTAGATGTCTCGTTGTCTCACAATCCCACCCTCGTCGCCAGTGTTATGTTCGGAAGGGTCGGACTTCAGAGACGAGAGACTCAGGTTCAGTAAACAACAGCTCTTTATTTACAGGCTAGTTCAGACTCAAAAAGGTAGCAGCCGCGACAGTTCTTTTATAGAGCTCGCTGTGGCTTGGCGGCCAATGACATCGCTTTAAGTCTCCCGCACTTGGTTTTAACCAATTGCGGCAGACTCTTAGCGAGCCAATCATAACCGCCCAGGCTGACCAATCAGGTAGCGCTTGAAAAGGACCAATAGGAATGCAGGGTTTCAAGCCTGCTAATATGGAACACTCCTGTGGGTGGAAAGCAGGATAGTGAAGGGATATAGCTGCCTTGAAGGTGTGTGTGTGTGAGGGAGGGACTTCTCTCTCTCTCTCTCTCTCTCTCTCTCTCTCTCTCTCTCTCTCTCTCTCTGTGTGTGTGTGTGTGTGTGTGTGTTTCTCTCTCTCTCTCTCCTTCCCTCTCTCCCTTTCTCTTTCTCTGGAGGCCGGGGAGGCCAAAAACGGTCCCTTCTAGGACTCTTTTAGATTATTATTTCCTAGTAAAGTCTGCAGCCTTAAACTTTATATTCGTTTTCTAATCAGAATCAACTATGCTTACATTTAGATCAATTTAGTTGAGCTTTGCCATTTGCTTTGACTTTAAGTCAGTACCCTGTCCCTTTACTTTTATGTAAGAGCAATTTGCTTCTGCTTAGTGGCAAATGCCAGATTGGCCAGTGCTTACTTATGATTCTTGAAAAATAATGTTGGTCAACTCAGATGGACTCAGTATTAGCCAGAATTGAATTCAGGAACTGCAGGTCTTCTGTGTTTAAAGATGCATATATTGCCATCCTAATTTGGAAGGAGAACCCTGGAAACTGATAGCATTTTTATGGCAGATTGTTTACTTGGATATGTATGCAGGAATAAATTGAGGATTCATAGGTTCTCATAATCAATACTCCATGCAATTCTTGTTCTTCGTATGTTTCAAGGGGAACCATAGCACCATCAAATTTCTTGCAGCAAAAATGTCAGCTCTTTATCTCCTTTTTAAACCTATTTTCACAACAGATGGCTTAAATCAAGTATGGATAACATTTGCCCTCTCCACTTGGTCTAGTATAATACAAAATTGTGTCGTCTTTCTTCTATAACTTATGATTTCTTGGGACTAATCTAACTTCTGCTGAAAAAAAACCCCTTTCCTTTGTCACATCTGAAGATGCATTGGCTCAGGAAATCCAGACAAACATTCTGCTCATAGAAAGCATAGTCAAAATTACATTTTGACACTGCCAACATCTTGATCAACTCACAGGCCCAAGACATTACTTTATTGAGCTAGTTCCTGAGATACTCAAACCAAATATTTAATGTCTTCTGGTTTGTTTGAATAAATATGGTTGTATATTTATTCTCCACAGGGCCAATATCATTGCATGTTTCCCCTGGAAACTGGCAACTAACCATTAGTTCCAACTTAATGAACCTTCTGAACTGTTGACTAGCAATAAATTAAAGAAAAGAATGGAATAGCGCCTTACAGTTAGAATTGTCTTATCTCTTTTCAATCTGTACACACTCTTAAGAAACCTAAAATATTGAAGAGGAATAATTCTATATTTGGAAAGAGCCAGGCTATGTAACTAAGTGCCTTCCTCTGCTTGTGTTTTCTTGTTAACACGTTTCTTCTTGTTTCAAATGCTTGAGTTTTAAGAATGAGTTGTGCCCTAAAATGACCCTTTCCCTCTAATAGCTTCATTTCACTATTGCACACTTGGGCATTCTTAAAGCATTTAATAGCCTAGTCAACA